ATGAAATTGACAAAAAGAAAAGAAAAGAAAAGAAAAGAAAAGAAAAGAAAAAACAAGTGACGTCATGTACGTATCCTAAACCCGCGCGCATGTGCACATTGACAAGAAGGCGGCGTTTCTACCCGTCTGTGTCATATGTGTCATTCGTATAACATGTGTCAGTAATTTTCAAATTGAATTAATTACCCGTCTAAGCCTATTTTGGAGCCTGGTTGGTAACAGAGGCCGCAGAGACGAGGCTTTTATCTAAATGGCTTGAACAGTGTTGCGGTTACTGAATACTTCCACGCATTCGTTATGCTTAAAAGATATTTGGTGTTTGTTTAGTTGTTTACATTACCGCCGTGACAGGAATCATTAAAGCGCATTTGGCAACTCACGCGCGGTCAGCTGATGCGATGTGGTTCACATTCCCCCCCCCCCCCCCCCCCCCCGTTGCTGTTTATCGCTTCTTCACGAACGGTAATTGGAAAATAACGAGACGGAAACCGAGAGCAAACGAGGAATAGACGCGAAATACGATAGAATAAAAGGTAAATAATAACGCTGGGAAGAGACGGGGAGACCACGGACCGTCTGGCTTATAATGGAGGGCTGACATAACGGTGCATGTGTCATACTGGGAGGCTGAGAGGAACCTCTGCTGACTTTTAACCATTTCCTCTCTCTCTCTCTCTCTTTTCTTCTTCTTCTTCTTCTCTTCTTTTCTTCTTCTTCTTCTTCTTCTTCTTCTTCTTCTCTCTCTCTCTCTCTTCTCTTCTCNCAAAAGATAATGAGCCTACTTCCCATATATCAGCAAGTAGACGAATATAGATAGATATAAAAATAGATACATAATACTTTAAACAATACCTTCAAAAGACCTCCGTCTGATCCCAGTTAGAAAAAAAGTGAAGATAAGTTAAATAAAACAACTGGCAACTTTCTTAACACGGAAATGAGTTATGATAAAAAAAAATGAAAATAAAAATAAAAAGATGAATTCCTAACTTATTGAATGAAGATGTAATAATAAACTACACATTGTCTTGGCTTATAATGACGGGTAGTTAAGTTAAGCAGGTAAATAAAAGAAATAGATTTATAAACAAAAATAATTTCACGATATTTCTTTGATTTAGAAACAATCTATATTGTTTACTCTCACTTACTAATAGGATAATACATAAATATACATAGATGAATTTCTAAAAATACAAAATGTACGCATATATAAGATTCACACAAGATTCATTAGCTTTAAAGACTTAAATTGTTTAAATAAAGTAAACAAATAGATCCACACAGAAGTAAATTTCAAAGAACAAACAAAGAATTAAGACCACCTTCTTCCTTTAAGAAAAAAAGGGAGAAAAAAAAATCACCCGAAGCAATACACAAGAAAGACTTTTTTTTTTTTTTTTTTTTTTTTTTTTGGGGGGGGGGGTGGATATCTAGGATTCACCCAGTTCCTCAATCAAAAAACAGAGAATTAATGTTGTATAATGTATCTATTCTTATATATTCTCTCTATCTATCTACTTGCTCAATATAAGGGGAAGTAGGTCACTATTCTTTGCTTTAACACTTTTTTGCCACTTAGTTTTCAGTAAACAAAGAGGAGGGAGGGAGGAAGAGAGAGAGAGAGAGAGAGAGAGAGAGAGAGAGAGAGAGAGAGAGAGAGAGAGAGGAAGAGAGAGAGAAGAGAGAGAGAGAGAGAGAGAAGAGAGAGGAGAGAGAGAGAGAGAGAGAGAGAGAGAGAGAGAGAGAGAGACAGACAGACAGACAAAGAGAGAGAGAGAGAGAGAGAGAGATAGATTAAGAAGAGAGAGTCAGTAGACAGACAGACAGAGAGAAAGAAAGAGAGAAAGAGAGAGAAAAAAAAAGAAAAAAAGAAAAAAAAGAAAGAAAAAAGAAAAAAAAGGATTGTTACCGGACCGATCTCTTCCCTCAATGGGTCTGGCGCTCCGTCGGTCTCGCAAATGACCATTTTTATTCAAATTTTTCATTGTTTGCCGAGCGAGATTTACATTTCAGGGCAAACTTTGGGGCTGCATTTGCATTTTTAGAAAGGGGGGGGAGGGGGGGGGTAGGAGGTGGGGGGGGCTTTTTTTTCTTGACTTTAATTTTTATGGGGTGTGTTTTTTTTGGTGTGTCTCGTTGTGTTGTGTGTGTGTTGTGTGTGTGTGTGTGTGTGTGTGTGTGTGTGTGTGTGTGTGTGTGTGTGTGTGTGTGATGGCAGTTATCATTGCTACAATGATAATGAAAATAATTATGACTACAATAGTATTCATGAGAATAATCACAATGATTAAGATAATAATGATAATGATATTAATAAGACGATTGATTTTAACGATAGTAATGATAACAGTAATTATATTAGAAATAAAAATGATAATGACCAAGAATTTAAATTTGAATACAATTGTTCCTGTAATTGTTGTCACTGTAACAATAACGTAGCAAATTAATCCAAAAGATTAAGGTAATGGAATTAAGTCAAGGTCATTATGGAATAATTAGAATTCCTGTTTGGAATTCCTTTATTATTTTATCATTATTTATTGTTATCGTTATTATTATTATCGTCGTTATACTATTATTATTGATTTATAGTTATTATCATCATTATTATGATTTTATTATCATCATTATTATGATTATTGTTATTATCATCATTATCATTGATGTTATTACTATTATTGTCTTTATTATTGTTTTTATTTTTATCATTATGAACATTGTTATTATTTTCATTTTTTTATTGTTATTTGCATTATCATTTTATCACTACAAATTTTATTATAATTAGTGTTATCATCATTATCATTATCATCAGTATCATCATCATCACCATTATTAATATTATCCTCATTATTATCATTATCATTATCATATTATATTATTTTTACTCTATTATTTCTATCATATTATCATTATTATCCTCATTTATCATCATTCATTATTATTATTCATCTTTATTACCTTTACTCTTATTATCATCATTACCACCATTAGCATTCATCATAATCATTATTATCATTTTCATTATTATCATCATTATTATTATCATCTTTATTACCTTTACTCTTATCATCATCATTATCACCATTAGCATTCATCATAACCATTCTATGACAGGACCCTGTGGTTATAGACAGTTATATCAGGTCGCAAAAATATTATATTGAAAAAAGGGAAATCATTGATTCACGCCCTGGCACGACTGTCAACCCTTTTTTAAATGGAACACACTGTATATATATTTTGGACAGTGACATTTATTATATTGAGTTGTGTGTGTAGGGAGGGGGGTGGTGTCAGATCCCCCTGTTTCTATGCTGTGCTTGTTTTTGTGTGTGTGTGTGTGTGTGTGAGAGAGAGAGGAGAGAGAGAGAAGAGAGAGAGAGAAGAGAGAGAGAGAGAGAGAGAGAGAGAGAGAGAGAGAGAGAGAGAGAGAGAGAGGAGAGAGAGAGAGAGAAAGGAGAGAGGTGTGTGTGTGTGTGTCTGAGAGAAAGAGAAAGTGAGAGAGTTTGTGTGTGTGCGTGAGAGGGGGAGAAAATGTGAATATGTGAGTATGCATGAGAACGAGGGAGAAAGAGAGAGTGAGTTTATGTGTGCGCATAATTGGGAGAGAGAAAGAGAGGGAGTGTGTATGTGTGTACATGAGGGAGAGAAAGAAAAAGAGGGAGCGTGTGTGTGTGCATAAGAGGGGCAGAGAAAGAGAGGAAATGTATATGCGTGTACATGAGAGGAAGAGAGAAAGAGGGATATTGTGCATGTATATGTATGTGCGTGTGTGTGCCTGAATCTGTGTATATATACAGGGATTAATTACTTTTTTTCTATATGCATCAGTAATTTATATTTGAGTTTGTCCGTGCTATGAATCTTTCCCTCATTTTATATTCTGACTTATTAATAACGTGAGATCTATTTAAAGTTTCAATTACATGTATTTGGAACCTTCTCGCTTCTCTTTGTCAGTTTTTTTTCCTTGGTCTCATAAAACTCGATTGAATTTTGAAAAATCAATTTGATTCTCTTAATGAATTTTGGGATTATTTTCTTTCATAATGGAAGCGATTTCGGGGCAAAATAATGTGTTTCTTTTGTGGTGTTGCTGGAGTCTTTTTTTGTGTGTGTAATTATCGATTTAACTGGTGGTAAAGGTAGCCTTAATATAACTTTGCAACAGTTTCTGTGTGCGTGTGCGTGTGGTGTGTGGTATGTGTGTTGTGCGTGTGTGTTTGTGTGCGTGTGTGTGTGTGTGTGTGTGCGTGCGTGTGTGTGTGTGTTGTGTGTGTGTGTGAGTGTGTGTGTGTGTGTGTGTGTGTGTGTGTGTGTGTGTGTGTGTGTGTGTGTGTGTGTGTATGTGTGCGAGGCCGTGCATTAAGTGTGCATCCTAAATCTTATTTTGGGTGTGCGAAAGAAAATATTTGAAAACGTGTTTGTGTGTGTTTATAATGCTCGTGTGTGTGTGAGTGTGAGCCTGTGCGTGTAAAACGTGTATGTGTGTGTTTATATGCTCATGTGTGTGTGAGCCTGTGCATGTATTCCTGTTTCTTCTGAAGATATGCTAAAATATATTTCCTTTTCAGGTAGATTCCCGCGTTGAGTTAACATCCCTCCAGAAATACGAACAGTCGCTATTATACAGTAAGAAAAGATTCTTGTACTCTCTTTCTGTCCCTTTTACTTTCTCTCTCTCTCTCTCTCTCTCTCTCTCTCTCTCTCTCTCTCTCTCTCTCTCTCTCTCTCTCCTCTCTCTCTCTTCTCTCTCTCTCTCTCTCTCTCTCTTTCTCTTTCTCTTTCTCTCTCTCTGTCTCCTCTCTCTCTCTCTCTCTCTCTCTTCTCTCTCTCTCTCCTCTCTCTCTCTCTCTCTCTCTCTAATTATTATAATCATCATTACTATCTATAATATGTTTATGATGCTTCCTACTTTTCCTTTTTTCCCAACTCTTCCTCTTTCTCTCTTCCTCTATCTTCCCCACTTTCCTTTGCCCTTTCCCTCTCCCATACTTGCTTCGGCAGTGCATATACTCAAATTAGAACAATGCAGAGAAGATTAGCATGATCACTGCGCAAGGATGACGAGCAAAATCGCGAATTTGTGTGGTGTGTGGTGGTGTGGTTAATGTTCTTGTCTTGCAATCTTGTTGACCCGCGTTCGATCCCGCGCGCTGCCAGTGGATGGTCACCCCGGCCATTCCTGCATACAGGGAGATTTAGAAGGCAAAATGAAACAGACAGTATGTCGCAGCCAAGGATATCCATCGTAATAAGTGGAATTAAAATTAAATCTTCAAATATTGAATCTTCTACTTCTCCCTTCCTTTATCCTCTTCCCATCCACATCACTTTTCCAGCCTCTTGACTCTGATCCCCCTCGAATTGCCTTCTCCCTACCCANCTATCTCTATCTCTCTCTCTCTCTCTCTCTCTCTCTCTCTCTCTCTCTCTCTCTCCTCTCTCTCTCTCTCTCTCTCTCTCCTCTCTCTCTCTCTCTCTCTTCCTCTCTTCTCTCTTCTCTTCTCTCTTTCTCTCTTTCTCTCTTTCTGTTTGTTTGTCTGCCTGTATGTCTCTCTTTCTCTCTCTATCTATCTATCTATTATCTTTCTCCGTCTCTCTCTCTCTCTCTCTCTCTCTCTCTCTCTCTCTCTCTCTCTTCTCTCTCTCTCTCTCTCTCTCTCTCTCTATATATATATATATTATATATTATAATATAATATATATATATATATATGATTATATTATATATGTATATATATATATATATATATATATATATATATATATATATATATATATGTGTGTGTGTGTGTGTGTGTGTGTGTGTGTATGTCTGTGTTTGTACGTATGTATGTATGAATGTTATATACAAAGCTTCCCTACTGAATCATTCCATTTGTCGAATTAACGCAGCCACGCCAGTGACTGCCGATGATAACGTGTCGCATAAATTATACATAGAACAACCTCAGTCAATTCCCTCATAGTGTCTCAGGCGGCAATTAGGGCGAACAAGTCGTACGGAATTCTAAGTAACGACCTTTCTGTAGTCTCTGTTGATACTCCTACTTAAAGGAATCTTAATGTTAGCGTCTCAGGTGTAGGAGTCGGTCGCTGTAAGGATCGGGGGAGGGAGGATGGGAGGAAGGGGTATGAGGAGGGATGGGGTGGGGTGGGCGAGGGTGGCTTTGTTATTAATTAGGTTCCTGTGGATACGAGAGGCTATTTCTGAGGCTGGGATCGTGTGCTACCTGTGGTGTGTTGGTTGTGTAGCTGTTGGAGGTTTTCTTTGTTTCTCTTTTGGTTGATACGTAAACGCACACGGCACGCACGCCACACACGCACGCACACACACACACACACACACACACACACACACACACACACACACACACACACACACACCACACCAACACACACACATACACACACGCACACACACACACACACACACACACACACATACACACACGCACACACACACACACACATACACACGCACACACACACACACACACACACACACACCACACACAACACACACACACACACACACACACACACACACACACACACACACACATACACACACGCACACACACACACACACACACACACACACACACACACACACACACACACACACACACACACACATATATATATATATATATAATATATATATATATATATATATATATATATATATATATATATATTAGTGTGTATGATTATGTGTACATAGATACGAATCATCACTAACGCACGTATATCTGCATATGCGCATGAACCAGAGAGACAAAGACAATGCCCACAGAGCAGGAGCAGCCAGCCCCTCGAGGCGAGCGCCCGCCCCGTCGCCCTCCTCGTGAACGCCCTGACCCCCCCCCCCTCCCCCCAGGTTCGCCGTGTTCCTGTTCGGCGCCCACGTGGCCAAGGGTCGGTGCACGTGCTGCAGCGCATCGGCGACGGCACCCACACGGCCCAGCTGTTCCACGTCGTGGGCAAGGGGCTCAGCTGGATCCCGACGGGCGTTGACGTGGTGGAGGACGACCTGGCCGACCGCGGGCCCCGCTCGTGCTGCGTGGGTGCGGGCGACGCGCGGCGCCGGGCCCGAGGCCGACATCGCCCTCGACCACGTGTCCGTCCTGCGCGGGGCCTGCCACCGCGACCCCGTCCTCGACACCAACGTCACCCTCCACGCGGCGCTGGCCCACCCGCACGCCCTCGCCTTCTCCGCCGGCCCCGCCCTCACGCCCGCGCCCAAGAGGCACCTCCCGCAGGCGCAGGAGAGCGACCAGCCCGCGCGCGAGGACCAGGGCGCGTGCGAGGGCCTGGCCACCTGCACGGAGTGTGTGAGCGACGCCGCCACGACCTGCAGCTGGTGCGACATGACCCAGACCTGCCTGAGCTCCACGACCCGCGAGGCCAAGGCGTGCCTCGACCACCTCACCGTCCACCATAACACGGTAAGACGGGTCATACAAGGTCAGGGTCATTTTTGGTACCCCGAGAGACGCAGAAGTTCCCATTCAACCTGCTAATTATTCGGGTCTTTGTCATTCCATTAGGCATTGTCTCGAGGTTCCGGAATTATGCAGTCTCTAAAAGATTTTTTTCCTTCTATTCACTTCAAAGACGAATAGATATATCGGATTGCAAAACTTCTTGTCCTTTGTTTATCTATTTGATAGATTGTTTTCTTTTACTTTTACCCACACCTTTTGTTTGTTTGTTTTTTGTGTTATTCCCCTGACTTTCGCTTCCTCTTTATCCGAATATCTATCTATTTTCTTCTCTCTTTTCCCTCCCCTTTCACTCTCCCCCCCCCCCATGTGTCCTCCCCTCGCTTCCTCTTTATCCGAATATCTATCTATTTTCTTCTCTCTTTTTTTCCCCCTTTCTCCCCTCCTTTCTCTCCTCCCCTTTCACTCCCCCCCCCGTATATCCTCCCTCACAAAATCTCTCCCCTCACCCCCCACCCCCACCCCCAGAGCTCGCAGACACGCCGAGGGAAAGTTGGTGTCCTCAGCTGATCCCTCGCCAGGAGACAGAGTCCTTGTCGCAAGCTTGTTCCTCTCGGTGTTGAGCTTCGCCGTCCAGAACATACAGGTGGCGTTGGCTCAAAATGTTTTATTTTTTCTTATTTGTATATTATTAGTATTATATTATTATTTATTATTATATTATTATTATTATTAATTATTATTTTATTATTATTATTTTTTTATCTTTTTTTTATTTTTTTTTTTTTTTTTTGGGGGGGGGGATTTTGAGCTTCGCCGTTCAGAACATACAGTGGGTGGCTTTCAAAAATGTTTTTATTTTATCTTATTTTTTAATTATTATTATTATTATTATTATTATTATTATTATTATATTATTATTATTATTAATTCTTTTATTATTTGTATCTTTTTTTTTTTTTGGGGGGGGAATTTCAGCTTCGCGTTCAGAATATACAGGTGGGTTGGCTTTCAAAATGTTTATTTTTATTTATTTTTTATCATTATTATATTATTATTATTATTATTATTATTTATTCATTATTTTTGTATCATTTTTTTTTGGGGTGGGGTATTTTGAGCTTCGCCGTTCAGACATATAGAGGTGGGTTGGCTTTCAAACTGTTTGTTTTTATTATTTTTTATTTCCTTTCTTTTTTTATTCTTTTATTTTTTATTATTAATTTTTATTTTTTATTATTATTATTATTATTTTTTTTTTTTGGGGGGGGGGGGATTTTGAGCTTCGCCGTTCAGAACATACAAGTGGGGCGGCTATCTTTTTTTTTTTTTTTTTTTTTTTTTTTTTTTTTTTTTTTTTTTTTTTTGGAGGGGGTGTATTTGCGAGTTTTTTTTTTTTTTTTTTGGGGGTGGGTTGCGAATGATGGGTTGTCTTTTGTTATTACGATCGTCTTTTTTGTTATTATGATCATTACCATTATTGATATTATCGTTCTTATTATCATTGTTGTTACTGTTGATTTTGTAACTGGTGTTGTCACTATTGTTTTTATTATTATTGTTGTTGTTTTTGTTTTTGTTATCATAATTATTATTATTGCTTTGTCATTAGTGCAGTCTGTATATCTATGTCTATATATTTATATATCTTTACCCATTCTTTTTCGTCTCTCTCTCTCTCTCTCTCTCTCTCTCTCTCTCTCTCTCTCTCTCTCTCTCCTCTCTCTCTCTCTCTTCTCTCTCTCTCTTCTCTCTCTCTCTCTCTCTCTCTCTTCTCTCTCTCTCTCTCTCTCTCTCTCTCTCTCTCTCTCTCTCTCTCTCTCTCTCTCTCTCTCTCTCTCTCTCTCTCTCTCTCTCTCTCTCTCTCTCTCCTCTCTCTCTCTCTCTCTCTCTCTCTCTCTCTCTCTCTCTCTCTCTCTCTCTCTCTCTCTCTCTCTCTCTCTCTCTCTCCCTCTCCCTCTCCCTCTCTCCTCTCCCCTCTCCTCTTCCTCTCTCTCTCTCTCCTCTCTCCCTCTCCCTCTCCCTCTCTCTCTCTCCCTCCCTCTCTCTCCCTCTCTCTCTCTTCTCTCTCTCTCTCTCCTCTCTTCTCTCTCTCTCTCTCTCTCTCTCTCTCTCTCTCTCTCTCTCTCTCTCTCTCTCTCTCTCTCTCTCTCTCTCTCTCTCTCTCTCTCTTCTCTTCTCTTTCTCTCTCAACTGTGAGATTTATTTTAACCGTTACCGTCTAGTTACGTCATTTAAAAAGTTATTGAAAAATCATTGCAAATAACAATTGTTTATGAATAACGAAAGCACGACAGTCTGCAACAATGCATGATTATATATTCATCGTGGGCTTATAGCCCTAGAATGTTTACACGCGCTCGTACACGCACGCACGCACGCACACACGCACACGCACACAACACACACACACACACACACACACACACACACACACACACACACACACACACACACACACACACACACACACACAACACACACACACACACACACACACACACAGAGAGAGAGAGAGAGAGAGACCGAAGAGAGAGAGAGAGAAAGAGCCGGAAGAGAGAGAGAGAGACACCCGAAAGAGAGAGAGAGAAAGAAGAAAGAGAGAGATACAGAGGAAAGAGAGAAAGAGACCGAGAGAGAGAGAAAGAAAGAAAGATTGAAAGAGGAGAGGGAGAAAGAGAGAGAGAGAGAGTGTTGTGTGTGTGTGTGTGTGTGTGTGTGTGTGTGGTGTGTGTGTGTATGTGTGTATGTGTGTGTGTGTGTGTGTGTGTGTTGTGTGTGTGTGTGTGTGTGTGTGTGTGTGTGTGAGTCCCAACAACTAATTTCCGATATATGATTAGTCAAGCAATGTTAAAATATTTTCTTACCGCATTTTCTTGACCACGGGAGGTATAGCACACCAAGGCTTGAAGAGGAAGTTAATTGAGGAGGAAGGAGAGAAGGAGAAAGGAAAGGGAGAGGGCGTGATGGTGATGAAAAGGGGGAGGAGGAAAGGGAGCATTAGGAGGAGGAGTAGGAGAAAGAGAGAGGCGGAGGAGGTTGAGAAAGAGGAGGAGGAGGAGGAGAAAGTGAAACAGGAGAGACTGGAAGAGGAGGAGAAGAAGAAAAAATGAAGGAATAGAAGAAGGAAGTGGGAGAGAATGAGGATAATATTATATATATATATATATATATAATATATATATATATATATATATATATATATATATACATATATATATATATATATATATATATATATATATATATATATATATATATATATATATATATATATGTATATATATATATATATATGTATATATATATATATATAATATATATACATATATATATATATATATATATATATATATATATATATATATATATATATATATATATACTATATAATATATATATATATATGTATATATATATATATATATGTATATATATATATATATAATATTATATATATATATATATATATATAATATATATATATATATATATATATATATATATATATATATATATATATATATACATATACATATACATATACATATACATGTGTGTGTGTTAGAATACATATGATACAGTTTCAAGATTAGTTATAATTAGTTAGTCAGGCTTTTGGTTAAATTGAGTTATATTAATTCGATTTCGAAAGTTTAGACTAGTTAAGACTGGGCTGTTCAGATTCTTTGACTGAACTTGTATTTAGTTAACTAATTAAGTTGAGATAGTAACATCGGTTAGGTGGATAAGGCTGAGTATATCATATATTTTGTTATTTTATTCATCTTTTGATATGTTAATATATCTTTCTTTTTTTAATGTTCTCAATCTTATTTTTATTATATTTTTTCTTGCAGTTTTGTTTATTTGTTTTTTTTACAGCTTTCATTTTCTATTTGTTTTTATTAGACGATTTATGATTTTTAATTTTTTAATTCTTCATTCCATTATCGTCATTCTTTGTTTAATGACTTTATTTATATCATCTTTCCTTTTTTATTTATTTTTTTTATTTATTTTTATTATTTTTTTTTTATATTATTTATTATTATTATTTTTTACTTTCACTTTTTCAGTGTTTATATGTCCCACAAAATATTTTTATGATGATTATTTATTATCACTTATTATTATTATTTATTATCACTTATTATTATTATTTATTATCACTAAATTATTCCACAGTCCTTTTTATTACTATCATCTATCATTATTTCATAATTCCTATTCTCAGTAATCATTACTTTAATTGTATCTATTTTTCATGATATTAATATTGCACTATATTCAGTTTTTGTCACGTGTTTATCTGTCTTTATATCTGGCTATATATCAATCCTTCTGTCTATCTGTATCCACCTATCTATCTATGTGTATCTATCTATCCATCTGTATCCATCTATCTATCTATGTGTATCTATCTATCTATCTGTATCTGTCTATCTATGTGTATCCATCTATCTATCTATCTGTATCCATCTATCTATCTATCTGTATCTGTTCTATCTACCTGTATCTATATATCTAGCTATGTATATATCCATCTATCCTGTCTATCAGGATTGATGGACAGATAAGTATATCTGTTCATCTGTCTACCTATCAGTTTATTTGTCTATCTACCTACCATCTGTTAATATGTTTGCTTATTCGTCTATCTATTTATCTATCTATCTATCTACCTGTCTGTCAATCTATCTATTTATCTATCTATATGTATACCTTTTTTACCTACCTACCTACCTACCTATAATCTCTATCCATCTATATATTTATCCATCTATCTCTCTATCTACCTATCTATCTATTCCATCTATCTATTTATCCATCTATCCACTCTATCTGTCTATCTATTTATCCATCTATCCACCTATCTATCTATCTAATCTTTATCCATCTATCCACCTATCTTCTATCCTTATTATATCTATTTATCTATTTATCCATCTATCCACTATCTATCTATCTATTTATCTGTCCATCTATCTATCTATCTATTTATCTATCTATCCAATCTATCCATCCTGATTATATCTATCTATCCCTATCCCACCTATCGCCATATACCTACTCTATATTTATCCATCTATCTATCGCCCACTATCCACCTATCTATCTATCCATCTATCCACCTACTCTATCATATTTATCCCATCTATCCATCTATCTATCTATCTATTTATCCATCTATCCACCTATCTATCTATCCATCTATCCATCCTCTATCCTATCTATCTATCCATTCTATCCACTTCCTATTATCCATCTATCCACCTGTCCGCCAGGGTAACCCAGACGGATAGCGGTTGGATCTGCGTCTTCGAGCCGATGGACGAAACAAGGGCGAAGAGAAGAGAAGAAACGGAGGGAGAGGAGGAGAAGAGAGAAGAGGAGAGGAGAGAGGGAAGAGGAGAGATCGCGGAAGGAGGAGGAGACGAAGAGGAGGAGAAGGAGAGTCTGGAGAGGAGGTTGCGCGCCGAAGAGGAGGAAGAGGAGGCAAAGAAGAAGAAGAAGAAGGCGGAATTGAAGAAATTGAAGAGGGGATGGAAGGAAGCGAAGGAGGGGAGCTTGCGTTTGCCAGGACACTTCCAGGTGAGGGAAAATACCATTAAATGTCCATTAAATACCCATTAAATGCCCATTAAAGGCCAATTGAATACCCAGTAAATACCCATTACATTCCCATTAAATGCCCATTAAATGCCCATTGAATACCTATTAAATTCCCATTGAATACCCACTAAATGCCCATTGAATACCCATTACATTCCCATTAAATGCCCTTTGAATGCCTATTGAATATCTATTCATTGCCTATTAGATGTTTGTCAATGCCTTCTAGATACCCATTAAATTCCCATTAAAGGCCAATTAGATACCCATTAAATCTCTTTGAAATCCCATTAATTGCTTATCACATGTCTTGTCAAATGCACATTGAATAACTCTTATGATCATTGACTGCCCATCAGATGCCTATTTTATATCTATTAGGTACCATTTAAATGTTTACTTAATTAATAATGCCGATTAGATGTCTATCACGTCTCCATTAAGTGTCCATCAGAAACTGCCCATTAAATGCCACTAAGTGCCTAGAAAATGTTCATTGAAGGTCTATAAAATACCCATTATTTTATATTAAAATTTCTATTAAATGCATATAAAAACAATAAGATGCTTATAAATGTCTATTACATAACGCAAGTGCTTAATTAAACATCAGATTATTGAATAAATTTATTAAAACCATTACATGTCTGTTCAGTATCTATTAGATAACTATTAGATGGACTATCAGTCAATTATTCAATGTGTAAAAAAATCAAAGAAATATCCGTTTATAAAATGAATTTCCTCTCGTGTTTTATCTATCTCTTCGTTCTTGAATATATCCTTGTACTGTCTTTTTTTTTTTTTTTTTTTAATTCGTTCATCTATTTTGACGGAGAATTACACACGTGGAAACGCTGAGACCGCGGAAACTTTTGAAAAAAAAAAAAAAAAAAAAAAAAAAGGTTAAACATGAAAATAAAAATAAAAGTTGAATAACGGATGAGATATCAAAGCGAAGACTTTAATCCTTCACCATCTGCTCAGAGAGAGAGAGAGAGAGAGAGAGAGAGAGAGAGAGAGGAGAGAGAGAGAGAGAGAGAGAGAGAGAGAGAGAGAGAGAGAGAGAGAGAGAGAGAGAGAGAGAGAGAGAGAGAGAGAGAGAGAGAGAGAAGAGAGAGATAAGAGCGAGATAGATAGAGAGAAGAGATAGATAGAGAGAGATGAGATAGAGAGAGAGATAGAGAAAAGAGATAGAGATAGAGAAAGAGAATGAGAAAGAGAGATAGGGAAGAGAGAAAGAGAGATAGAGAAAGAGAAAGAAGAGATAGAAGAGAAAGAGAGATAGAGATAGAGAAAGAGAGATAGAGATAGAGAAAGAGAGATAGAGAAAGAGAGAGAGAGAGAGAATAGAGAATGAGAAAGAGAGATAGAGAATGAGAAAGAGAGATAGAGAATGAAAGAGAGATAGAGAAGAGAGAGAAAGAGATAGAGAAGAGAAGATAGAGAATAGAGATAGAGAGAGAGAGAGAGAGAGAAGAGAATAAGGGGAGAGAGATGGAGAGAAAGAAAAAAGAGATGCAGAGAAAAGAGCTAAATTAGATACAGAATCAAGAGCGAACCTAACATAGACAAAGAACCGAAACGTAAATGATTTAAACCGCTATCTCTACCAAGTTCAAAAATCTCTTTATTTGGGAGATAATTTCACACGCAATTGAAAACGGAATTAAGGATTTTCTCTTATAATCCCCATCAATTCAGCTCTCTGATCTCATAGAAAACGGGTATTCTACGCGCGCGTAAAACTTTCAAAAAAAAAAATGGAGGGGAAACGAACATATTTCTTTTTCTTTTTTTTTAGAAATCTGAGGGATAACGGAATTACTGCGAGAGAGCTGTAGCTACTATTTCCAGCGACAGAATTTTTATTGCTAATGAAAATGCCATTGTTACATCCAGTAAATCTTTGTTCACAATGGGAGATCTTTCAGCAAGATTTTGTTCAATCCTAATCTAAGTGGAACATAAGCTTTAAGTCTCCTTTACTGTTTGTTTTTAACGGTACATGCATACGTACATATACACACACATACATACATACACACACACATACATACATACACACATACATACATACATACATACATACATACATACATACAAGCATACATGCTTACATACACACATACATACATACAATACAAGCATACATACAAGCATACATACATACATACATACATATACATACATACATACAAACATACATAGATATACATACATACATACATACATAAATAAATTATACATACATACAAGTATACATACATACAAGTATACATACATACATACATACTTACAAGTATACATACATGCAATAACACACACATACACACAATTAGATGAATAAATAGACATAGAGATGAAGAAATTAATAGACGTATAGATAGATGGGGCGATATGCAGATAGATGGATGGACAGACAGGCAGACAGTCAGGCACACAAACAGACAGATACACACATCAGATAGACAGACAGACAGGCAGATACAAACAGACAGATCACAACAGATAGATCAGACAGACAGGCAGATAAACAAACAGACAGATAACGCAATCAGATAGACAGGCAGATGACAGATACGCAGATAAGACAGATACGTAATCAGATAGACAGGCAGATAAACAAACAGACAGATACGCACAGACAGACAGACGCACATGACCCCGATCTCAACATCCCCAGCCATCTAACTTCCGGTCTTTCCCCCCTCATCTCCAGGGCCGCGTCATCGACATGGGCGGCGGCGTGAGCACGGGCGTGGGCGTAGGGACCATAAAGTGCGGAGACGGCATCACGGAACTGCGCCCGCACCACGCCCCCTCGGCACCCGCGCCCGCCCACGTCCACTACGCCGTCAGACTGATCACTCCCGCGGGGGCGCTGCTCGATAACCCCGGGGGCGTCAAGTGTGAGTATGGGCGTGGGGGGGGGGGGAGGAAGGGGGAAGAGGGGGTAGATAGGGGGGGGTGAGGTGGGGAAGGGGGAGGGGGTAGGGGAGACGATTAGATATCTTTATATATCATGGAGTGTGTGTGTGTGTGTGTGTGTGTGTGTGTGTGTGTGTGTGTGTGTGTGTGTGTGTGTGTGTGTGTGTGTGTGTGTGTGTGTGTGGTGTGTGTGTTGTGTGTGTGTGTGTGTGTGTGTGTGTGTGTGTGTGTGTGTGTGTGTGTGTGTGTGTGTGTGTGTGCTTGTTTGCGTTCTACCACGATAACGCTATGGGAATGAAGAATATATTTAGATATTCTATTATGTTATTGATATTCTCTAACACAATCAAGCCAAATTTATCTGACAGAAATCTAATCCAGTGTTATTATAAAGCACAATCAAGGATCCCATTTATTGACTAAAAAAGTGCAAATAAAAAAAAAGACTAAACCTATCAGTATCTTCATTTCTGATAAACTTCTTGTCTTTAGCATTAGTAATTGAACTTTGAACTTCGGTTTTGGTTTTTGTTTGTCTTTTTTATTAGTACTTTAATGCTTTTACCGGTACTTTTTTTCTTTCTTTCTTCTTCTTCTCCTTCTCCTCCTTCTTATTCCTTTCTTTCTTTCTTTCTTTTCTCTCTTTCTTTCTTTCTTTCTCTTTCTTTTTACTTCAATCCTATTAACACTCCATCTCCCTCTCCTTCTCCTCCTCCTAACTGTATATTTTCATCCGTATAACTTCCTACACATTTTTTGGTACACATACCTCGCACCCAAACAAAAAACTCACTTTGCCAAACGACCACAAAACACAACAATTACCTCGAATCGTCAGGAGACCGAATCGAGCTTCTCCCTCCGTCGGTCTATCAGAATTTCCGTAATAGGGGAAAGGGGGGAGGTGAAGGTGG